CATTAACTTCATCTTGTTAAAGTAAAAACAATCTAATACTCTTTAAATTCTCTAATGCAGCAGCAGCACTAATAATTGGTAGTTCAATACTATTATCTAATTTATCAGAATTATCCATCTCACTTGATTCATTTGTATCTTCAGAACTAAATGTATTAACAAGTTCTTCTATAACTTTATCATCAGGAACCTCATAGATAATATTTTCATCAGAAATGTTTAAAAATTCATCAACTTCTATCATATTTGGAAAGACAAAGAGTTAAGCACTTCAATAAGTTTGTCATACATAGGATCATTTCTAAAAAAAAAAAAAAAAAATCAATATTTATTGCATGCACATACGTATATACATACATAAATGTATACATAATATTTAACAAACAATACAGGTTATTACCTAGATTGTATGGAATCAGCACTAATAGGAAGGATCACTATTTTGCGCTAACAATTCTTTATAGTTTCAGTGATGACTTCCTCCCAACCTTTAATAACATAACAGATAGCCTGAAGGATGTCCATCATCAAGTTTTGAATTAAGTTGCCCCCTTAACCTGTTCCAATATCCACCTAAAATTTTATAGATAAATAAATAAATAAAGGGCATTAAGTTAGTATAAGTAGCAATTCTGAACATAAGAATAAATAAGGTAAGAGCAAAAATAGATTCATAAGTCAGTAAATAAGTGTATGAACAAATCAAATAAATTGACAATTTATAAATTAATGAAATTAGGAATAAGTGAATAAATGGAAATAGATTAAAGAATGTATAAGTAAATGAACGAAGTGAATAAATAGTGAATGAGTGGATTGATAAATAATAAATGAATAGATAAACAAGTAAATTAGGAATAATAAGCAAGTAGATAAACAAATAAATTAATGAATGAATAAGCATATTAAATAGATAAGCGAAAAAATAATAAATAATAGATTACATGAATGAGCAAATGAATAAATCAATAAGCAAATAAATGAATGGATGAATAAATAAATAAGTGAGCGAATAATAAATAGAGATGAAATGAATAAATAGGTAGATAAATAAGCGAATAAATAAAAGAATAGAATAAAACAGATAGATTAATGAGTAGCAAAATAAATTAATATATATATGTTGAAATAAAAAGAATACATAAGAATGTTAAAAAAATTAAATTAGTACAAATGTAATTATAAATTATCATAGAAGCAAATAAATATAATAAAAAAAATAATGAACTGGAAACAAATAAACAATTGAAAAAGTTAAAAATGGATATGTAAGTAAAGGAAATTAAGTAAAAAAAATTTAAATAATTTGTGAGTAAAAAATAAATTTAAATAAGAGTGCAAATAAATAAATCAATAAATAGAATAATAAAATAAATAAATGTGTAGGTAAATAAATTAATTGAATTAGTATTTTAATTACAATAAAAATAACAATAAATAATAAATTAATATATTTTACTGAAGTTGAAAGCAACGGTAATGTTTTTTAAAAGACATTATTATTCTAGCATCCATAGGTTGGATTGCTAAAGTAGTATGTGGCAGGAGAAAGTAGACATCAGTATTATTTAATCTTACACCATTAATTTTGTAACTTGAACAATTGTCAAGCAAGAGAAGCACTCATTGATTTCTATATTTTAGTCTTATCTGCCTATCAAATTCCTTTAACAAATCCTAAAAATGAACTGCAAGCATCCATGCTTTAGCATTATTACAATATGCCATAGGTAAGTTTTTGATGTTAATATTTTTGAAGCATCGTGGGTTAGCGTATTTTCCAATTACTAATAGGTTTAATTTGTGGGATCCATCTGCATTTGTACACAAAGCAATTGATATTTGTTCTTTGTTTTTTTTACAACCTGAAATACGTCATGTTGCCAGTATTCTGTCTGGTTCTAACCTGTAATTAAAATTATTTTTGTTTAATAATAACAATAATAATAATAATAAATAATAATAATAAATAAATAAATAAAAACTGGTAAAAAAGCCCTGTTTCATCCATGTTATAGATGCGTTCTAAAGGGTATTGATTATATTTTTCTTTTAAAATTGGTAAGATTTCCTCAATTTTAGTATAATTAGCAGATGTTGCCTCTCTATGAAGTACTATTTGATGAATTCCATTATGATCTTTAAACTTTTAAAGCCATCCATTAGAAAATTTAAGCTGATCTTTAGAAATTTTAAATCCTTTTGCTAGTAATTTGGCCTTTTCAATAATTATCGCATTACTTAAAATAGTTTGATCTTGATAAATTCCTTAAATGCAAGTTCTAATTCTGGAAAAGTAACAGGTTTATATCATTTAGCATCCAGATTTTTTATTTCTGTTACAAGACGTTTATCCTTTGTTTAAAGAATTTGTATAATAGTGGATAAACTAACTTTAATTTTCCATTTTTGTTCAATCCATTGTATGTATCCAGCTCTAGTTTTTTTATCATTATTTTTAATATATTTGCAAAACTCATACTTTTGAACATCTGTTAAAGATTCGTGCTTTTGAGACATGTTGATTAAAATTTTTGATGCTTATTATCTTTATATAGTAAAAATTATTAGTGCTGCTGCTGCATTAGAGAATTTAAAGAGTATTAGATTGTTTTTACTTTAACAAGATGAAGTTAATG